AGGATGCAAATTGAAACAATGAAGTCCTTGTACACCTGTCAAATAAGGAACTAGAATAAACACAAAGCAAAGGTCTGTCTTCAGGATCTGAAAATAACATAAGGAAACTATATCCTAAAACCTGTGGAAGGACATAATGCAAAAATGACTAGATAAAACAAGTTTAATTTTTAGGAAAGGCAAAGAATTAAAAAAAAAAAAAAAGAAAGAAAGAAATATTAGAAGCTTCAGGAATCTACTGTGCTTTTCAGAATATAAAAAAATTCATGTTTTTTTCCCTCAACTTTGAATAACTGGGGAGTTGCTTTAACAACCTTAAAACAAGTTCATCAGATAAATGCTCTTTTCAGATAAAGAAAATGTATTTTTAAAACATTTTTTATATGGAGGAAAAGTTATTTGGTCTAAAGAAAATTATATCAAAAGAAAAATGAAACATAATTGCTATCTTAAAAGGTATAACCTGGGGCCTAGAGTGACGTAAGGTATTTTGAATGTAGGAATCAGGCCAATAGAGTTTATCTGAGTGATTTTATAGATGAAGCTGAGCAAAGGGGTAGAATGGAAAGTGGAACAAGGGAGACCGTGACACAATAAGTATGACTTTTGCTTGAAAAAGAAAAATTTCTGGTTAATAATCACAAACATCTATTTTTTTCAAATACATTTTCAAATACTGCAAAAAATAGTACTTAATAAAACATAAAACTTGCTAAACTTTATTGAAAACTTCCAAACAGTAATTTAGAAAAAAATAGCATTTTGGTTATTTTTTTTCAAGTGTATGTGTCTGTGTGTGTGTGCCTGTGGGTTTTTCCAACTTTATTGCTTTCCCAAGGGAATAGACAGAGGATAAAAGGAAATATGGAATTTATATCAATTCGTTGCTTTGTTTGTACCCTTGCTGAACAGCGTTGTGAAAAAGTCTTTCAAAATAAAGGAGATATTTAAAAAAGGAGATATATTTAAATCTCGATAGTCTATGCAGGAAGTTGAGTTTATATCAAAGATTACTGTGAACCTTGGGTAGTTGAATACTAACCTGAAGGCTGGTGGTTTGAACCCAGCCAGTGTTGCCTGAGAAGAAAGTTCTGACGATCTGCTTTCATAAAGATTATAGCCAAGAAAACCATATGGAGCAGTTCCAATCTGTAACACATGGGGTCTCTGTGACTCAGACTGACTTGATGGCAATGGGTTTGGTTTTGGGTTTTATCACAGAAATTTAGAGTTTTAAGAAACTTTGTTGACCAAGAAACCGAAATCTTATGTATTGCTCCAAATCACATTTATTATGTCAAACCAAAAACCCGTTGCCATCGAGTCGATTCCAACTTATAGCGACCCTACAAGACAGAGTAGAATGGTCCCATAGGGTTTCCAAGGCTGTTGATCTTTACAGAAGCCAACTGCCACATCTTTCTGCCGTGGAGTGACTGCTGGATTTGAACTTCTGGCCTTTCGGTTGGCAGCCGAGCGCTTTAACCACTGCACCACCAGGGCTTCTTAGTAGTGATATAGTTAAGGCTAAAACCCAGGTCTTCTAGCCCCCAAGTTTCATGTTCTTTTTATCATAACTGCAAGGTCTTTCATTCTCTTTCTGGTTTCCTCCAGGTTGAAAACAGGAAGAATGATGTATATCTCACATTCTCATTTCATTTTTTGAAATAGCCGAGAGTTTTTAGGCACATGTGTCTATATATGTACCTCCCTCCTTTCTTTTTTAACCAGAAAAACATGTGATACAGATGCCATGGCTACATTAATTTTACCCCGTTCTTGCTGTATTATATTCATTGCAATTAGGTTCATATTGAGACCTTGGTTTCTCCACCTGAGCGTTACTGACACGACCTATTGAGCTGAATGAGTGCAATGTTATGCTTCTAAATCTAATTTATCTGTCTCAAATGATGCAGTCTGGATATGATTCTTTAAGGAAACTCAATATATGCTGCCAACTATCAGAAAAATATTAACTACAGGATGATGATTCATTTTGAAAATAATGGTATGTTTTACAAAGGACTTCTGTAAGGATCCTCTTTAGTGAGCTCTCTCATGCATTTCTAACTATAATTTAAATCTGTTGAAATTCAGTTTGTGCCCAATGCTTCAAGAACATAACATAAAGCAAAGTTTTTTAGAATTTGATGGCAAATGTAAACACCAAACTTTTCTAAACAACTCTAGCAACTTGAAACACTAGTTATATGTCTAACAGTATGAACAGTAATATGCTTGATAACGTGTTTCTGAAAACTTTATTTTTACTTTGTGACAAGGCACAGGGTTGTTTGGTAGGATGAATGATACTATCTGTAGATTGGAAACAGATTTAAATTGCTACAGGCAATGCCTAGAAACACACTGGAGAGTTGAACATGCCTGAAAAAAGGGGGTCAAAAAAAGTATTATGAAACCGCAGTAATTAAGGAATATTCCACTTAGGTCTGTTTTAAGTCAAGCAGTGTTCCAAAGGGACCATGTGGCTTTATTTTTAGGCTGCAGTTTGTTGATTCAGGCTGCAGCCTCTGCTAATTGGCAGAGCTGTTCTCAGTCTAGAGATATTTTATTGCTTCTAGATAATGAGAAATTAAATGTTTCTCTGCCTTTCTGGAAGGAAAACAAAAACAAAAAACAATTACTCAGCTGAGCATACTTTCTCCAGGGTCCAGGTCTGTTCCTAGGTGGTCTTGGAAACCCTGTGGGGCCGTTCTACTCTGTCCTATAGGGTGCTATGTGTTGGAATCGACTCAACAGTATGTTCACACTGTCCACACATGTGGGTATGTTTACACTGTCCACACATGTGGGATTCCCCTGGCCAATTACAGATGGATTAGTCTACAAAAATGAAACCAGGATTACCGAGGCCATTCTTGAAATGGGAATGTGAGGATCAGAAGACTTCCCAGGTAACACATGGCACAATTAGTCTAGTGAATTAGGGAGCTGATAGCTTGGTCTCCGAGGAGATTAGGTGAAAGACTAACAATTGTCAATGGAGCACAAGACAAACCTGCAGAGCCAAGCTCTGAGCAAAAAAATGAACTGGTGGTTGCTATGGGGAGGGAAAGTGTTTCAGGATTGATGAAGACACTGGAGTGTACATCTTTAGAGGTGTTTAGAATACAAGAGGAAGAGACATTGGAAGGCAGGTCCAGCTTCATGTGCTTGTGACCTGTACAGTTGCACAGGGACCCATGCTTAGAAGGGTCCCCAGCTTGGTTTAACTTCCTGCTGTCACCATCTTAAAATTCTTAATAGTTTTTTAACAAAAGGGCCTGCATTTTCATTTTGCACTGGCCCCCACAAACTATTTAGCTGAATCCTGTTGGAAGTGGACAAAAAGGTCAGGGGATAGGCGTTAGAAGACATTTTAATTTGGGCTGGGCAAAACTCTGTTCGATGTAACAGAGTTTAGAGGAAAGGTATTTAAATAATCATCAGAACATTTTGATTAGGGAAAAAGGGCAGGAGGGCATTTGACCATGAAGCTTCTTGGAGTGGAGAGAAGATAATAGTGGAACTGATAGTGATGGTCTTGGCTGGAGTGAAGGGCAGCACAGAATTCCACATAGTGAGAATAGTGAGGTTTTGTGGGCAGAAGAGTCAGGGCTGAGGTCGCAGAGGGAGAAGCACAGCAGTAGCAGCCAGGTATGAGATCAGAGTTGTCTGGGCAGTAGCAGATGACCTTATTGGGAAGTCTGATGGGTAAACAGGATTTGGAGAGTTACATTCGCCTTGACTCACTTAGTGCTTGATCAAGGGGAAGTCACTTGACTTCCAGTGTTTCTGATTCCTTACAAGTAGAATGATTTTTCGTACTAGCTACTCTCCAGCAACTAACAGTCTTAATGTGATAGTGTCTATCAAGTGCTCTGAGCTCCTAAGAGATAGACTATCAATCCGTACAGTAGCCTGTTCCTTTCAACTGAAATAAATGAATTTGGGGTTTACTAGAGTTGCCTAGGAGAATGTGATTTGGTGTAGTTTAGTAGTTGAACTGTTCTAATTGGCAGTTCTCTAAGGAAGTATATGCAATAACACCACTCCTCCCCCTTTCCCCATGAAAAAAGTTCCAGTATTGTATTTCCTCACAAAGTGAAGCATACGGTCAGACCCAAGATATTAGTTCTCTCAGATATTATAGATAAGCTTTACTTAATCCAGATGATTCATAAAAATGATAGTTTCTGAGCTCTCAGGGCCATAACAAATAATTTAGGTCGACTCCATTTTCCAACGACAAAATTGAAAGAGAAGAGGGTAGTGAATGGCCCAGGTCTCACAGCAAAGCGTGTAGAGCCCTGCCTAGTGACCAGGTCTATTAGTTCAGGGCATTTCTCTTACATTGCACATGTCTTTTAAGCAGTCAGGTTCATTCTGGGCAATGTTTGAGGAGTTCCACTGCATTTTGTGTTTATAGATGTCTCAAGGTTATTATGAAGTATTTATTAATCAGAGTAGTAGTAGTAATAATAATAACTACATTTATATCAAGTCTGCAATGGGCACAGCAAACTAGGAAATTACCTAATCCTTTCAATAAACTTGAAAGGTAGGTGTTCTTATCTTCACTTTTCAGAGGAGGAAATTGAGACTCAAGAAGTTAAATAACTTCCTCAATATCACATCACTTTTAATTAGATAGACTTCAGGGCTTCTTCAGCCTGGTGAAGTTTTGACAGCTATTTATCTCTGAGCAGACCCCAGTGCATTTAGTGGGAGTTCTTCAGTTTTATCCTTCAGGGCTGAGCAAGAACTGAAGTACTAATTACAAGGATATTTATCTAGTAACATCTAGTATTTTGTTATATGCAGTCATTATAAACCTGATTATAGCTGGTCCTATGTTGATACCTCACAGGTAATTTATAACGATATATGTAGATATTATAGAGGTGAATAAGCTGAGGAAAATGGACTAAGACATTTTTCTTTGTGATATTTAAATAAATTAATCAGTTTTATTTTATTTTATTATTTTTTCTAGTTGGCGACCTAGAAGACTTCATTTACTCCTCATGGTCCCATCTCTCAGTTGGAGAGTATATTCACTCATACAAAGAATCCAGGAGAGAAAAATGGGAATGAATGCAAGCTACCAGGTGAGTTGTGTATATTTGCAACCATCTGGAAGACATAGTCAAGCAAAGACAGCATAAGAAAAGGCAGTATTAGAAATCAACTAGAGCTGACTAGAAATGGAAGAAAATCTACAGGAAAAAAAGTCTTTTTTCAGGATGCACTTGCCCAAAACTTTGAGAATTTAAGCAAAGAGGAGCAAAGCAGAATTGAGGGGAGTATAATAGATGCCCTGGCTGCTAACCACAAGGTCGGCAGTTCAAATCCACCAGTGGCTCTGCGGGACAAATGAGCTGGCAATGTGCTCCTGTAAAGATGACAGCCTAGGAAACCCTATGGGGCAGTTGTACTCTGTCATATGGTGTTGCTATGAGTTAGAATGGACTCGACGGCACACAACAACAACAACAGTAGATGCCAGTGTGGGGAAGAGGTTGTAGACGTGCTGTGCCCTCCATCTTGCAGCACTCTGTCAACCCTGTGCAGAGACAGAAGGGCACTGCCCCTAGGAGTGAACTCAAGGCCCTTTGTCACTGCTGTCATTCAGGTTAAACAGTGAGGCCCTTATCCTTCATTTACCTAAGCTCGTGTTGCCTTCACCTCCACCCCCATGACATACTGGGTTTGCTAAGGTTGCTGTAAGCAAAGCAGTGTGTAAAATAGCACACAAGTTCCTGTTTGACAAGTGGCATGTCAGTTTCTCATTGCTCCCCAGGGGCCACTTATAATGAGAGATTGGCCTTGTGAGCTTTGAAACTTTTCCATTCACAACTCTGTATGTCTTTTATTATTTTGCCTTCTAAAACTAGCATGCTATTTTAGAAAATAAAGAAAACAGGCTTTAGAAGGGCATCTGTTTTGCAGCAACCACTAATCAGTCCCTGTCTCTTCACATTGAGTTTTAAATTATTACCCAAAATAGGAAAATATGCAAATATAAGACATGTGGATTAATTTTTTTTTTTTTAAATCTTGAGGTTCTTCTGTATATCTGAAGGACAGATATTTGTGCGTCGATTTTATTCACGTTTCTCCATGATGCCCTACTTGTGAATTTTAGGATGCACCGTGTCCTAGAAGGCATGATAATTCTGTGATGTGGTCATATAACACCTTGCATTGTGCCCCTAGCACTGTACCATCAAATAGATTTTATTGTTAATAATAACCATAATTTTCAGGTACTAAGTTTTCACTAAAATTTGAAGATACTGGAAGAGTGAAAAATCTCTTCAGATCACCTTATTTGTGCCCTAAGAGCCCTTGGTACTTACTTCTGCATTGCTGTGTTCATCATAAGGCACTTGGTTTGCATGTTCAATTGTCCGTGTCCTTCACTAGACTCTAAGCTCTTTGAGACTAGGACTTGTGTCTGTCTTGCTCATCACTGAGTCCTCAGAACAAATTATTGCATGTGCCTCAACAGGCCTTTGATAAATATTTGTTTAATTTGAGTTGGAATTACATTTTTTTGGGGCCCTGGTGGCACAGTGGTTAAGCATTTGGCTGCTAACTGAAAGGTCGGTGGTTTGAATCCACCACCCACTCCTTGGAAACCCTATGGGGCAGTTCTACTCTGTCCTATAGGGCCTCTGTGAGTCAGAATTGACTCAATCACAAGGGGTTTGTTTTTTTAATATCCCAGGCTGTAATCTTTATGGGAGCAGATCACCAGGTCTTTTCTCCCACAGAGCTGAGGAAACCATGTGGGGCAGTTCTACCTTGTCATATAGGGTCGCTATGATTTGGAATTGACTCAGTGGCACACAACAACAACAGCAATGTCCCAGGCATTTAGAAGAGTGCCTTAAATACGTTTTCCCATGTAATCCTCCCAATAACCATGTGGGATAAGAAGCTGAAACTCAGATACAGTAAGCAGCGAGCTTGAGGTCCTCCAGCTGATTATGTAATTTGGAACTGGGCGTAAGTGACTGCAAAGTACACACTCCACTGTACCACACTGCTTTGTATATCAGAATGTAGAGTATAAAAATCACCCCACATACTGAAGGAAACTTAGAAAACATGAGAGATGAGGAGGCTTGTACCTACATTGGCAAAGGGGCATTGGCAAAGGGATGTATGCCCTTCAAAGTTTTCACAGAAAAGTTATTTTCATTGAGTGCAAGTATTTCTTGCTCATTAGACAACCAAACCAGATAAGGCATGCTTGTTCGTTGTTCTTACCATTTGAATTGATATTATATTTGGATATTCTAATTATAGGTAAGGATGACATAACTATTACTATTCGATTCAACTGATATTATTGAGAACTTTTTAATTCAGAGAATGATACTGGGTGAGATTAGATATTGGGGGTAGAAATGTGGAACACAAAATGAGTATCATTTACCTCTTATTTTCACAAGCTTGTAGTATAATGAAGAATAAGAAAGAAAATCAAATAATTTTATAATAAAAGGGAACGTTAAATGTAGTGAGATTAATACCATCTGTAGAGTATATAAAGGAGTAAGATTGTATCTTTCTTGTGATAGCAGAAATACATTATGGAAGGAGTAGCATTGAGATGGCTTTAGAAAAATGCGCAGGATTTAGCAGTTTCATGTACTAGACATTTGAAGGTGAATAAAGACATGGTCTCTGCCCTTAAGAATAGCCAAGACTCCTTGGTAGAAATAAGCACAGAGTGAGTATTGGTATGGCTAGTAACAGTGGGCTAGAGAAAGCAATTAAGGAATAATTAAACAAGATAATATTGAAAAGATAATGTGGGACTTTGTGCCTTGCTTAGGGAATAGTAAGGACTTCACATATGAGTGACCAGTAGTCCACGAGCCTGGAGTTTTTATATTGTGCTGATTTGGCCCTTAAAGATTTGTTCCAAGAAGGGATCTAAAAAAGCTTTCCGAGACACGTAGGAAACTGCCTCAGTTAACGTAGGCTTCCCTTCAGTGACTCAGTTCTCGTGGGGAGTCAGAATGCTTTGAGTATAGAATTCACAAAGTCTGGAAAGTGAAAGAAAGGATTCTTCTCTAAACAGTAGAGTGTACTGCCGTAATATGCATAAGCATTGGCAAGAGGAGTCAGGCAGGATTTGTGTTGGCTTATACTGTTACGTCAGCAACTCTGAGTAATTAAAACCGCTCTAAAGGGAAGTTTGTGTTTCCCTCTTGCAGTGCACATATGACTCTGGCCCTGAAAATGTTTTTGTAGTTAAATTTTGCTTCATTTCCCATTTAAGATTTGTCACAGTAAATAATTGCTTCTCAAATAGCAGTATCCTGAATGTAAAATGTAGTGGATGCTGTCTGAATATTAGGTAATCAGTCTTGTGGGATCAGCTAGCTTTTCCTTAGATGAAGATTGTAAAACATAATCAAGTCGAGGATGGTCAGAGATACCTTTGCTAATAGAAAGAAAATGGGATGGATGTTAAAGATGTTAATCAACTGTGCTATGCAACAGCTCCTTTTATAACACTGAGCTTCCCCATCCCTCTGGTACGTCTGCAGCTTCATGTTGCTACCTTTGAAAATACAAATAGTACAGAGATATATTTTTATTAAATGATCAACAAATTATTATTATTTTAAACAGACTTACTGAGGAATCATTTACATATCATAAAATTCACCCATTTTGACTGTACAATTGAATGATTTTTAGTACATTTACAGAGTTGTACGATCGTCAGCACAATCTCATTTTTAGAGCACATCCGTCCCCCTCAAAGGATTCAACCTGCCAATTTACAGTCACTTCCCAACCCCAGGCAACCACTAGTCTACTTTCTGTCCCTAAAGTTTTGCCTTTTCTGGACATTTTACAATAAATTATTGTTGACTGATTTCTATGAGTTAGTGATTATGGGGAATACATATTTTAAAAGAGTAAATCATGTTTCCTGCTCCAAAAAATCTGACAAACAAGTTGGTAAAGTGATATTAACATTGTTCTTTCAGAACTAAACGATTAAATTAAATATCAGATCCTGTAGCCTACTAACCACAGGTATAGACCTAAAAAAAAAAAAAAAACAAGAGCTATTCATGTGGAGAGATGAAGAAATTAGTCAAATAAATTAGAAACCATGACATTTCACCTGAAATGCTCAGTTCATTTAGATGAAAATGTTTGAGTGAGTAATGTGATACTCCCCCCAGTTCTTACTTTCTAATGAGGAATTAAATATTTATCAGGATAATTTTATGTCAATCTGAGTCGTAGTTGATCTTGATCTTAAGTTTTAGACATGTTGACAAAGTTTTTCTGAGTTGGAGGAACACATTTAATATACATCATATTGAAAGTTATCCTGGTTTTCTGTGTGAGAACAGGAAGCTAGTATTGGGAATTACTAATGTCATATCACACCCTGCAATGTCAGCTGTGCAGAATATGGCCAGTCTTCTCCCTCCCAAAACCCAAACCCATTGCTGTCAAGTCGATTCCGACTCATAGTGACCCAATAGGACAGAGTAGAACTGCCCCATAGGATTTCCAAGGAGCGGCTGGTGGATTTGAACTGCCAACCTTTTGGTTAGCAGCTGAACACTTAACCACTGTACCACGAGGGCTCCAGTCTCCTCCCTAGGTGTGCTCAATACTTGCGGAAGCTATTCTATGTCAAATTGCACTCTGTTTCCAAGAAAATGGATGTCTTCTTTTTAGAGGAAGTTGATTTATTTTTAGACTGCTATGTCATGTGTCTAGGTAGGCATGCTTTATCTTATAATAATAATAATTAATATTCAAGTAACATAGAATGTGCCAAATGCTGTTTTATGAGCCTTACAAATATTAACTCATTTAATTCTCATAATAACTATGAGATAGCTGCTATTATTATTTCCACTTTCTAGATAAGAAAAAGAAATGTGAGGCCAGAGAGGTCATACAACAAGCAAGTAGTGGATCATATGTTAGAACCCAGGCCATATGGCTCCAGTGTATTTAATCTTACACTGCAAAGTGCACTATACCACCTCCTAGGTATTCACAACCTGTCCAAATGGTTTTACATTATAAAAGTTCATTGATAATGGAGAGCTTA